CTGCTAATCAGAAGGCTGGTGGTTCAAACCCACCAGCCACTCCTCGGAAGGAAGATGGGGCAATCTACTTCCGTAGTGATACTGCCTCAGAAACCCAAAGAGGAGTCGCTATGAGTTGGGTCTGACTCGACGGCACATGACAACAACAACAGGGACCTAGCAGGACTTGCCCAGATCTGCAGCCTCCTCAAGGAGACCCCTGCCTAGCAGTCGGGAGGAAGAAGGAGGTTCTTAGACCCAAGCAGACTTTTGCCTTCATGGGGTCAGACGAGCAGGGCAGACCCCACGGAGCCCAGGGCTTGCCAGTTCTTACCAAATTGATCCAGTCGATATAATTAGAGACACGTGTGAAGACAGAGGGCTTGTGGTAGTAGTTGCAGCCAAGGGAGGACCCGAAGCTGACCACACCATGTACTTCCCACTGGCCATTAGCTGCTTGGCAGTTCAGTGGTCCCCCGGAGTCCCCCTGAGGAAGGTAAGAGTTCTATTAGGAGGGACGTGGGGGCCTGGGTGAGGTGGTGGGAGAGGAGGGAGCCACCCATTAGAATCCAGTGCTTTGCTTGTTCTCAACACATTTATATTGCTCTACTGTGTGCGTCTGACCCAAGCCATGGTATTTTCATTAGCCTCAAATGCATGAATAGAGAAGACTGCAGAAGAATGAATGCATTTGAGTTGTGGTGTTCGCAAAGAATATTGAACATACCATGGGCTGCTAGAAGAATGAACTAATCTGTCTTGGAGGAAGTACAACCAGAATGCTGTACTGAAGTGAGAATGGCCAGGTTTTGTCTCTCGTACTTTGATCATGTTGTCAGAAGGGATCAATCCCTGCAGAAGAATATCATGCTGGGTAAAGTGGAGGGTCAGCAAAAAAGGGAAAGATCCTCAAAGAGATAGATTGACACAGTGGCTGCGACAATGGGCTCAAGCATGGCAAGGATTGTGAGGATAGGGTGTACGGAGCAATGTTTCATTCTGTTGTATGCAGGATGGCTATGAGTTGGAACTGACCCCTGCGTAGGGGGCTGTGGCCATTTCAAATTAGACAACCATATGATGTGCTATGCTGGGAATGACAAATTGAAGAGGAACGGCATGGCATTCATTGTTACGAAGAATGTTTCAAGATATATCCTGAAGTACAATGCTGTCAGTGATAGGATAATATGCCTACAAGGAAGACCAGTTAGTACTGCTATTATTCAAATTTATGCACTAACTACCCAAGCCAAAGACAAGGAAATTGAAGATTTGTACCAACTTCTGCAGTCTGAAATTGACAGAACATGCAATCAAGATGTGTTGATTATTACTAGTGATTGGAATGCAAAAGTTGGAAACAAAGAAGAATCAGCGGTAGTTGGAAAATATGGCCATGGTGAAAGAAATGATGCTGGAAATTGCATGATAGAACTTTGCAAGACTGACAACTTATTCATTGAAAATACCTTTTTCCAACAACATAAATGATGGCTATATATGTGGACTTCACCAGATGGAATACATGGGAAGTAGATTGACTACATCTGTGGAAAGAGATGATGGAGAAGCTCAATATCTTCAGCAAAAACAAGGCCAGGAGCTGACTGTGGAACAGACCATCAACTGCTCATATGCAAGTTCAAGTTGAAACTGAAGTCAATTAAAAGAAATCCACGAGAGCCAAAATATGGCCTTGATTATATCCCACCTGAATTTAGAAACCATCTAAACAATAGATTTGATGCGTTGAATACCAATGACCAAAAACCAGAGGAATTGTGGATGACATCAAGAACATCATACATGAAGAAAGCAAAAGGTCATTAAAAAGACAGGAAAGGAAGAAAAGACCAACATGGATGTCAGAAGAGACTCTGAAACTTGCCCTTGAGTGCAGAGTAGCTAAAGCAAATGGAAGAAATGGCAAGATAAAAAAGCTGAACAGAAGATCTCAAAGAGCAGCTCTAGAAGACAAAGTCAATTATTGCAATGAAATGATACCAAGAGCTAACATTTATTAAACCATTCTGTGTGCCTGGAACTGAGCCAAGCACTTTATTTGCCTTATCTCATTTAATCATCATAAAAACCTATGAGGTAAGTACGGTTAGTATTCCCCATTTCACTGATGAGGAAAAATGGAAGCTCCCAGAGGATGACTTGTCTGAGGTTGTATAAGCAGGAAGTGAAGGAGCTGAGTCCTAGTCCAGAGTAAGTCCTAGTCCAAGAGTTAAGACCCCCTGCTCTTAACCATCATCGGATATTTCCTGCTCTGGCTGGTGGGAGAGCACTGTGAAGACCAATACTGTCTGTGTTGATATGTGGGTTTTCCTGAAGCTGGTCTGTAAGGGCAGAGAGTACACGGCAAGTGTGATCTGGAGGGCATGTAGAAGTCACCCACTTTTAGCAGCTGAGTGCCTTCCTGCTCTATCCACTCTGCTGCCCAGTCTACCATACAGCAATTCCTTCTGGTTGATGCAATCTCCAGGACAACTTCTGTGCTAACTGGAGGGGACACATTGGGACATTAATGGGATTAACTCAAAAGATAAAGTGGAATTCTACTTAGAAAGGCCCTAACCCAGAGAATGAAGTTGTTGGGTAGTGCAAAGAGTTAATACACTTTGCTGCTAAGCAAGTCCATGCATAGACAATTCAGAAGAAAGTTCTGGTGATCTACTTCTGAAAAATCAGTTCTACTCTGACACACATGGGGTCACCATCAGCAGGAATTGACTCAATGGCAACTGGTGACCCAGAGAATACTGTCTCTTGGCTCACTTCCTATGTAGAGGAAAGAAGAGAGATGACTATAATGAAACACCTTGATGAGACTCAAGGAAGGACTTCTTGCCAGTGAGGGTTGTAGACACTACAAGTAGAACGTCAAAACATTTTCCTTGGAGACTACGATGACAAAGGCCAGTTCCACAAATGTCTAGAACTGTTTCTGGGTGCTTCTGCCAGGAGTAGGAAGGATGGCAGCTATGACCCTCAGACACTCTCTCCACCCCCAGCCTCATTTCATTGTGCAGGATGGGCACCTGACTTTCTGTACTCACGTTGCAGCTGGAGATCACACCATCGCCACCAGCACAGACCATGTTGGTCTTCACGGTGCTGCCCCACCAGCCAGGGCTGGAACATGTAGCATAGTCCACAACCAGCAAACGGCCCTGCTGCAGGATGTCAGGAAGAGCCCCATTGGCTGCAAGAGACCAGAGACAAGGTGTTACAGGGGCAAATGGTCTGTTGAGGAAAAAGGAAATAGTGGACACCCACTATGCTTTCTGCTTAGCACCTCTCTTTTTGGCCCCTTTTACTTCCCTCCATCCATAGAGTTAAAGTGGAAGGGGCCATGCTTACCTATAGGAGCTCTGGTAGCGTAGTGGCTAAAGCACTTGACTGCTAACCAGAGGGCTGGCGGTTCAAACCCACTAGCCACTCCTCGGAAGGAAGGTTGGACAATCTACTTTTGTAGTGATATTGCCTCAGAAATTCAATGATTCCTTTCTCTGGGAATTTGGGAATTTGGGATTGGGACAAAACAGCCCCAGCCAGAGAAGATGTCAAGCTGTTGGCAGTGGATGCAATTTTCTTCCTCATGGAGAAGAATGAAGTAGATTCTCCAAGAAAAGAGATACTGAGAAAAGGTTTCCTAGGCTTCTTACAGCCTTACAGTCCCTGACTCAAAGCTATTCCTGAACCCTACTTCATCTCTTGGTTTGAGAACAGAGGTGAATAACCAGTAAGCGTGGTATACACTGGCTTACATTAAGGTATGCATGGGCTTAATTGTGTAAAAAGGTGATGAAAACCAGGTGAAATAGTGCATTAGAGATTGTAAGTAAACACTATTAAGCCTGTGTGTACCTTGCTTATTGGGTAGTCCGTCCCTGGTTGAGACCCTTATAATAAAAGTAAAAAATCCTTATGATAAAGGTAACAGAGTCCCCTTTTTGCTTAGTAGATCCATGAGATGTCATAACTATATCATAAAAATGACAGTGAGCTTCCTGATATTTGGAGTCCCCTCAATGGGAAAAATATTCTGGTTTGGTGAAGGTACCAACCAAACCTGTTGCTGTAGGAACCTCTGAGTATAGACTGTTGACATCATCTCCCTCCCCTCCCAAGTCTCAGCTCCCACTTACTCTGCAGCCTTCCCCAGCCTGTGACGTAGCAGGGGTAGTTGTTGGGCAGGATGCTGCCAGCAGGTGGGAGGCAGGCCAGCTGGACCTTGTCACTCAGGGTGACAGGGTTGGCTAGTTTGAGCAGAGCAATGTCATTCCTGTGTCAGGAAAGAGGCAGAGAATAAGGAGAATGTTGACTTTTCTTGTCCTAATTTTCTTTCTGATTCTAGCACCAGCTAGAAACTGAACCTCCCTCAGCCAGCTTGACTGTGAATCTCCGTTCCCTCAGGACTAAGAGGCATTGGGAAGGAGCTGTGGTTTCCACAGGATTACATATTGTCCCTGGTGGAGCTTGGAGTCATTAATTCCTCTAAGCCCTTTAAGAGAAGGTTTAGAACAGGGCTGCCTAGTAGATTTTGTCTTGTAATGTCCACTCTGATGAATCAGTGGCTGCCTGGAGTGCTGGGTTGACAAGAATTCTGAAGCTTTGTCCAGGCTCAGCAAGGGGAAAAAAAAAAAAAATCCATGCTTGTTCAGTGATGTCTTTTCTGCCGTATACTTCCTGTGTTAGTTGAGAAAATGGTGGGAGATTCTCAGATCAAAAGGTCTTTTTGCCTTTAGTCTTTCTTCTTTCCCTTCTACCTTGCATGTGCTACCAGATTCATCCCTGTGTGTCACTGTCCTGCTCAGAAAACTTTCAGTAGTTGTGGCAGATTATCAGTTCCAAGGTGGAATTGGTGTGCCCACTCCTTGAATCTGTGGGGTGAGGTGGAGGGGTGGTGCTTGTCATTATGGCAGAAATGACATTACATGGCTTCTGAAACTAGGTGGGAAGAGGAGATGCAGCATCTGCCTGGCCATCATGGGACTCTGGCTCTTGGAACTCAGCCTCCATGTTGTGAAGAAGCTTGGGCCATACAGAGAGGCCATATACGGATGTCCTGGACAATAGTACTAGCTGACTGTCAGCATCAGCTCCCAGATATATGCATGCAGAGTCTTTGAGATGTTCCAACCCCAGCCACCATTTGGCTGCAACCTCTCACTGCAGAGACCCTGAGTGAGAGAGAACTAACTGGCTGAGTCCAATCAGGACAGTAAATGAACTGCTGTTGAGTCAGAGCTGACTCATAGCGACCCCTCCTTGGGTTTCCAAGGTGGTATCATTACATAAGTAGATTGCCCAATCTTCCTTCTGAGGAGTGGCTGGTGGGTTTGAACCACCAGGCTTCTGGTTAGCAGTCAAATGCCTGAGGCACTATGCTCCCAGAGCTCCTGGTCGGGACAGTGGGAGATAATTATAATAAACAGCTATTGCTGTTTTAAGACATTACGTTTTGGGGTAATTTGTTCTGTAGCCACAGATAACAGGAACACTGATACCCATTGATGGGCAGGTATTTCAGGTGTTTGAGGCTGACAGTTCTAACGCACTGTCCTTGCCATCTCTCCCATCATTTCTCTACAGCAGTCCTCCTCTCTAGCTGCACTGATAGTCACTGCTCCAGCACACACCTGCCCATTCCATGGCAGGTCCCTTGTCTTGACAGTACTCTTGATTTTAAAGACCCCCTCTCCAGCTCTCTGCCCACCCAAATCCTCCAACATGCCCCATGTTGTTTCATGGCTCTCCTGTGTATTGCACATGTGTCTCATCTGCTGATAAGCTCTTTGAGGGCAGGGACCAACTCATGACTCCTGGACCCCTCTGTGGCCACCCTCAGCACAGGACAACAGCAGGGCCTCATGCTTGTTTGCTGGCTAAATGAAAGGATGCCGAGTGTTATAGTCTCATGGCACCCTCCTGCTCTCTGTTGGGCTGGGCTGGGGAATCTTTTGGAAGATTTGGCAGAGGGAGCTTTTGGCAGCCCTCCAAGAATAGCATCTTGGGCTGCAGAAGGCCATATGCATGGCTGAATTATGCAAATTTGGAGTGATGACTGAGTTGCTTTTTCCTAGAGGCCCTTCTGGAGCTGCAGACCCGCTCTTTTGGACTGGGGCGGGGGGGGGGGGGTGATGGGTAGCTTTGGGCTCTAGCAAGTGATGGAGAAGTAGAGAAAAAGGAAGATAAGGTCCACCTCCAGTGAAGAGACGACAGCAATGACAGTGATGGTGCCAATGATGGTACATGTTGAAGGCCTACTATGACCAGGCTCTCTGCTAAGTGTGCCACACCCCATTTAATGCTCCTCTCCAGCTCTGTGACTTTGGGCAAGAGCCTTAACAACCCTAAGTCTTGGCTGCCTCATCTGTAAAATGGGATTAAAAACAATACCTCCCTCCTGAGGCTGGGGTGAGGAGTAAGTAAGATAATATACAGGAAACATTTAGCACAGTGCCGGGCACAAGGGACTCACACACTAAGTATGTGTATGATTGTGATAGCTAACTGCTATGGTTGGCAGAGAGCTAGCTGGGATTGTAGAGCTTCTAGAATGCTGGGCATCTCCAACATTAAAAAAACAAAAACAAAAACAAACTCACTACTGTTGAGTCATATCCGACTCATAGTGACCCCTCCTTGGGTTCTTTTCGAGGAGTGGCTGGTGGATTTGAACTGCCAACCTTTTGGTTAGCAGTCAAATGCCTTAGGCATTACACCACCAGAGCATTTCAGCCTGTCCTAAAGGAAGAGTTGCTAGGTACAGACACCACTGGAGTATCTATGCTAGTAGAGTTAGCAAGGCGGGTTTCTCTGAGCTGCAAGGAGCTGCTCAAATTTGGGAGTTAACCTAAACCTCACGGGGTAGGGGCTTTATGTGCCTCATTCACTGTTACTTCCCTTGTGCCTAGAACTGAGCCTGGCACCAGTAGATGCTCAACAGTATTTGTTGAATGAAGGTGTGAATGAACCTAAGGCTCTTGAATTTTCTTTAATGCCACCTGGACCTCAGGGTTAGTGGTCATGAAAGAAACTTGATGTTCAGCAAACATTCCCTGATCCCTACTATGTGCCCACACCAGGGGTTAGGGGCTAAAGATTCAGGGGTGAATCAGGCACAGCCCTGTTGTTGTTGTTGTTATTTGCCGTCGAGTCAGCCCCGATTCATAGCGACCCCTCCTTGGGTTTCCGAGGCAGTATCACTACGGAAGTAGGATTGCCCAACCTTCCTTCCGAGGAGTGGCTGGTGGGTTTGAACCGCCATCCTTCTGGTTAGCAGTCAAGTGCCTTAGCCACTATGCTACCAGAGCTCCCAGGCACAGCCCTAGTTCCTGCAAAATTCCATCCAGAAGAGGAGTCAGACATGTGAGCTGTTAACTTCAATGCAGCATACATCTCAACTGGGTCTGAACCTCGAGAGAATCCTGGCAAAATCAGTCTGCCCTTTCCCACTCTTGAGAACAACTCCCTCAGGCTACTCTGTTTTTTTGTTCCGACATATATCCCAGCACTTACAACTTTGTATTGCACTAATAGTAATGATGGTGGTGATGATGATAGCTCATACATATGGCTTCTATTACAAGCCAGGCCCCTTTTAAAATGTTTTCCATGTGTTATCTCATTTCATCCTCACAACAGCCCTAGAGGTAGGCACAGCTATTATCCTCATTTTATAGAAGAGGAACCTGAGGAACAGAGAGGTTAAGTAACTCCCCAAGGTCACACAGTGATTTTTCAGATCTGGGCAACCATACACCAAAAGCTCAACTTCTAACCACTGCTCCACACTGCCTCACTGCCATTTTTATGTCCATGAGCTCTTTGAGAGCAGGCATGGTGACCTATGTGTCTCTGTGTGTCCAGGTCCCAGAGTCCAGTGCCCAGAATGGGATATGGCATCTGCCAGGTATGTATGGGGCTCCATAGATGCTTAGAGGGTAGGGACTGGAGGGTATACAAGGATCTAAGAGGAGAGGTGGGAAGGCTGTTGCCATTTCCTTGTAGGCTGGGTGATAACTACAACGGGGCTTCAGAGAGCTCTGGAACCATGCCATCTTCCTGTGTGTGTTATTCCAGGCTCTGACATGGTATCAGGAAGTCTTTGAAAATGAAAGGCCTTGTTTGATGGGTAGGCACAGAGACGGGGAAGGCAGGAGAGACTGTGTCTTACTCTAGTGACAGTCATGGCCTGTGGCACCCAATGTCCCCAGGGCTTGGCATATGTGGTAGATAAATGGTCAGTGAGTGTCCCGGGTGGACATGTAGCTAACTGGTGGGAGGCCCAGGCCACCCTGGTGGTCTTTGCTTCTGCCTCCCCGGGTCACACTCCCACCCGAGGCAGTTGTAGGCGCCTTTCATCTCCCTACAGAAAGAGCAAAGGTGGGGGTGGGGCTGAGCCTACTGCCTCCTGGGGGTCCTCCCACCCCTGCCCTTGCCACACTACCACCTAAGCATGCCAAGATGCTTGGCAGAAGGTACCCTTTGGAGAGCTGGCTGGAGTTCCAGTCCTTGTGCACCACAAGTTTGGAGACTAAGACGGCCAGGGAGCCAGGCTCTTCTGTGGACAGGCTATGCCGTCCCAGCACCACACGGTAGGTCCTAGAGGAGCTGGGGAAAGAGGATCGAGCAGAAAGGGTCAGCTCCAGCTGCTGTCCTTTCCTTTCTCTGGCCCTTTTGGGCAGTGACACCCCATCCTAGTGGCCTGGCATTAGTGGGTTCTTTTGCATGATGGTAGGGATGGGCTCCATTGCCGTCAAGTGGGACCCAACCCATAGCGAACCCTCCTTGGGTTTCTGAGGCAGTCTTACTACGGAGGTAGATTGCCCAACTTTCCTTCCGAGGAGCGGCTGGTGGGTTTGAACCGCCAGCCTTCTGGTTAGCAGTCAAATGCCTTAAGCACTATGCCACCAGAGCTCCTAGGGATGGGCTCAAGTAAGCAATTGCTACATGAGCTACTGTTGTTAGGTGCCGTCAAGTCTATTCCAACTCATGGCAACCCCACGTGTGTGTAATAGAAGTGCTCCATGGGGTTTGCAAGGCTGTGACCCTTTGGAAACAAATCGCTAGACTTTACCTCCAAGGTGCCTCTAGGTGGTTTTGAACCGCAGCCTTCTGGTTAGCAGTTCAGTGTTTTGATTGTTTGTGCCACTGGGGACTCCTCATGAGCTACTACTGGGAACTATTATATATAATGCACTGCCATTAAGTCAATTCCCACTCATAGTGGCCTGATAGGACAGAGTAGAACTGCCCCATAGTTTCCAAGGCTGTAAATCTTTACAGAAGCAGATTGTCACAGTTTCTCCTGTGGATTCGAACTGCTGACCTTTTGGTTAGTAGCTGAGCACTTTAGTCACTGCACTACCAGGGTTCCCTCTATTATATATATATAATATATTAGGATTACTTAGGAGCTCTGGTAGCATAACCAGAAGGCTGGCAGTTCAAAACCACCAGCCACTCCTCAGAAAGAAGGTTGGGCAATCTATTTCTATAGTGATACTGCCTCGGAAACCCAAGGAGGGGTCGCTATGAGTCAGGTCCGACTCAAGGGCAAGTAACACCACCAACAACATAGTGCCTCTTGCTGTCAGGGTGGGGATTTTTGTAATTGCATAAAGCAGAGGGAATTTTTTGGGGGACATATTGCTGTGTTGAGAGATTATCGCATGAGGTGGTGCATCCTAGAGGATTGACTGTGTAAAACTTTTGTCTCTTTGGGCTTCTGTACAACAAAATAAGGCTTATAAGTATATCGACTGTTTCCTGTGTTACTGGGAAGGTGTTGTATTTGGGATTAGGTAATATTCAAGTGAATATTTTTTCCATGACTCACTCTACATATCCTACTACCAGAGGCTACTGGAACATATGTGTCCCACATAATATTTATCAAAATACAGCATACCTAACAAAAATTTACAAACACTCAATGATTCCACTGGCAAAAACATTATATCTACAAAATCTTTCAAACAAAAATAATTCAGTAACGAAAGGGTTAAGTTGCTCAAGGAAACCTGATTCCAGATTCAGGGACCAAATCCAGTTCCTGAGGGCAGGAACTGGGTCTTCCCCTCCTCCCATCCCCTTCAATGTCTACCCCAGGACTTTCAACCTCTGTCATGAATTGACCTATCAGTTGAACAAAGACTGAACTATAGATTGACTGATGTTGGTTTGACCAGGCAAGGCTTGCAAGGCTTTCTTTATACAGTGTGGTCAGGCCACTTGGGCTCCAACTCTCAGAGGCATGCTGGCTGGTGGGGGGAGTAGGTTGGGGGAATGGCAGTTACCTGATGCAGTGAGCAGCAGTCAGGACCCAGTTGTTGGTCACCAGGGATCCTCCACAGGTGTGGCGCCACTGGCCACTGGAACTGTACTGCAGGGAGACCTGGGGAAAAATGCAGGTTCTGGCAGTTGGGCCCCTGTCTCCTCTCTTCAACATCCCTGAGAGCAGGGCTGGGACTAGGGTGAGGTGAGTGAGCATTCATCTAAGGTTTGAAACTCAGGAATTAAAATCCAAAACATTTTTTTTCTCACATTAAAAATCTTCATTTATTTTAGTTTTTGTTGTTATTAAGAACATACACAGCAGATCATGCACCCATTCAACAATTTCTACATGTACAATCAGTGACATTGATTGCATTCCTTAAATTGTGCAACCATTCTCACCCTCCGTTTTTGAACTGTTCCTACCATGTTGACCTAAACCTAACTCACTGCTCCCCGAGGTTCCTATCTAATCTAGTTGTCAATTTGATCCCATGTTTCTTAGAAGAATGTTCAAGGCAGACATTCTTTTTTTTTTAAAATGCATTTCATTGAAATACGCTTTATGCACAGTGAAATATACAAAACTAAAGTGCATTTTTTTTTTTTTTTTGCAGTGTTCACTCCCCTCCCCTCCCACCCGTGGCAACCAACAAAGAAAGTTTTCCTCCATATATAAACTTTTCCTTGACCCTCTACAACAATGAACTAATACTATATTTGTCCTTCTGTGATTGACCCATTCCACTCAGCATAATGTCCTCCAAGTTCATCCATAACATGCAGTGTCTTGCAGACTCTACATTATTCCCTAGTGCTGCATAGCGTTCCATTATGTGTATGCACTACAGCCTGGCCACCTACACTTCTGCCAATGGGCACGTAGGCCACCCCTATCCTTCCGTTACTGTAAACAGCGCTGCAATGAACATGAGCGTGCATATATCTGTTCCTATCCTGGCTCTCACCTCTCCAGGATACACACCTAGTAATGTGATCGCTGGGCCAAATGGCTTCTCCAACTCCAGCCTTCCAAGGAATCGCTGCATTGCTCCAGGCAGACATTCTTTACTGATTAAGCTAAACTACTGTTTGGTTTGAAGAAGTCTTCAGGGGGATATTTTTGATTTAAGGTTTAAAGATTATCACGGGGTAACAGTTTCAAGGGTTTATCCAGTCACATTGGTTCCAGAAAGTCTGGATTCCATGAGAATTTGTAATTCTGTTCTACATTTTTCCTTTTTTGGTCAGCATTCATCAACAGAATCTTTGATTAAATGTTCAGTTATGGTAGCTGTGCGTCATCTAGTTCTTCTGGTCTCTTAGCATAGGAGACAGCTGTTCATGGAGACAATTAGTCACATACTCCATTTCCTCCTCCTATTTCTGACTTTCCTTCCTCTGTTGTTCCAGGTGAATAGTAACCTTGGAATAGTACCTTAGATGGCCACTTGCAAGCTTTTAAGACCCCAGGCACTACCCCATAAACTAAGAGGTAGAACAGAAGCACTAAGCACAGTATTAGGCCAATTAGCTGGGATGTCCCATGAAATCATGTCTCTAAATCTCCCAACGAAGAAACCAAGTCACATGAGGTATTTGGTTGTACATAAGCAGCCTTAGCAGCTGCTATTCTGTTGTTGTTGTAAATATATCTATGACATAACATTTGCCAATTCATCTTTTTATAGGTGTACAACTTATTGACCTCAATTATATTAATTGCTCTTAATTAATGCAGCTTTTCATCACAGGAAACCAAAACTCAGTGCTGCAGAAGCAGTAACATCCCTTTCTCCACTTCCTCCACCCCTGGAAACCACTAACAAACTTTGGTCTTTATACATTTGTCTGTTTTTGTCTTTTTATGCAAGTGAGGTTATATATTTGTCCTTTAGTGATTGAGATCAGTAACATTTCTGTGCAGTATTTGATAAATATAAAAATTAATGCAAAATATCCATGATAAGCAAAATATAAAAATTTTAAATATAAAACAAATAATTCTGTTCTAAACTTTTTGCAATTCTGTTTGTTGGGATTTTCCCCTTCTTGGAGATATTTCTCTAGGACATAGACCTCAAATTTAATGTCTAAAACCAAACTCTTGATTTCTTCACAAATCCTGCTGCTCCCTATCTCGGTAAATGGCAACCTCACTTAACAGCTACTCAGGCAGAAAGACTTGGTATCACCCTTCACCCTCAATCTCTCCTATCCTTCATCCAAACCCATGAGCAAATCCTGTCAGCTCTGATTTCACAATTGTGGCAAGTTCTATCTTTTCTTCGTCCTTCAACTGCTAGTCTCAGCCATCTTCGTCTCTCACAGGGATTTTTACTTTGGTCTCCTATCTGCTCTTACTTTCACCCTGGCCCTGACCCCATCCCCTATTTCCCATTGCAGCAGCCAGAATGACTCTTTTTAAATATAAATCTGATTATGTTTCATCTCCCCTCAGACCCTCCAGTGGCTCCCCATCTCACACAGTGAAAATCTGCAAAAGTATGATGGTCTACAAGGTCCTAGACAACCTCTTGGAGCTCTGGTGGCATAGTGCCTATGACATTTGACTGCTAACCAGAAGGCCGGCAGTTCAAACCCACCAGCCACTCTTCAGAAGGAAGATTGGGCAATCTACTTCCGTAGAGATACTGCCTCTGAAACCCAAGGAGGGGTCACTATTATGAGTCGGAATCCACTCGACGGCAGTGAGTTTGGTTTTTGAGATGACCTCTTGGATCTCATTGGCTCCCACTCCCACCTATTCTGGCCACACCAGCCTCCATGTGGTTCTGCACACATGAACACAAGCTCACTCTGCCTCATGCGCTTGCCTGGGATAGTCTTCTCCCAGGTATCAGCATCGCACTCTCCTTCACTTCCTACAGGTCTCTGCTCCAAGTTTACCATCCACCTGATGCCTTCTCTGACTGCCTGTCTACATGTATGTGTAGACTCATGTACACAAGCACACACATGTGTACATACATACTCACAGCTGGCAGGCTGTTAGATGCTCCACCATTTACGTTATAAACTCACCCAGATTCAGTTGGATTTGTCCCCAAACCTGTTTATACCAGTTGTGATAGTGTTGGAATTATATATCATTCGATTAAACATGTAACCAGTGAAATATGAGTTCAAAAAGACAATTGTAATTTATATGGAAATGAAGTTAAATGCTTGGGAAAAAATGGACCAATGGGGCTTCAAAAATGACTGCTGAATTAGGAGAATATGAGAAAATGGAAAGATTGGGAACAAATGTCATAGAAACCTGGAAGGGTTTATTACTCAGATTGCTTCATGAGTGTCTCAAAGTATGGCTCTACTTTGAAGAAATGGAATTGTAGATATTCTATTATGGAGGTGGTCTTATAAGAAAGTTAAGAACTTAAAAGATTAGTGAATGAAGATGTATTTATGGGTTCTAAATGAAAATAAAAAAATTAAATCTCTATGTATGATTTTTAATAATTTCTCTATAACCAACTTTTCAATTACTCAGTTCAATCACGTCAGATAAGAGAGATTTTGCTATATTTACTCATGCCAAAGTAAACCTCACACATTTCCTTTGAGAGTCCTACTCCTAATAAGTCCTAATAATTTGTGCCTTTGCTCCACCCAGAACCTTAAAGTCTTGATATCATTATGATTTTACTAAGATGAATAACCATTTATATTCACTGGTAACATTGTTTGCCTGTAGTTAAGTATTAATTTGCATAAATAGCACTGATTGGCTCCTTAAAGCAAAGAATATTTGCATAGTGGTGATGAGTGGTCATAAGATATCAGTATATTTGTAAGCAAGCATCTGATTGAATACAGAATATAAGAATATATTTGTGAATATGTGTGTATGGCTATTAGGTGGGGTAGCTCTATATTTAAGTTGGAGAAGGCACCTTTCTCCCAGCCCCCAAGGTTGGTCAAGGCCGTAGAAATATATTTTATTGATGGAGTTTCCCACCCTGCCCTCTAAGTCCCCACCAAACTTCATCTTTTCCAGTGTAATACACCCCATGATTGACAGGCAAAGGGGAGGTTTGAGATAGGTGCAGGCAGGGAGGGAAAAGTGGACTCACCTGCCAGGGCCAGCTGTTGGGCAATGCATCTTCACCTCCAACCACCTTGGGCAGTTGGGGCATATAAGTGGGAAGCCCACAGCTGAGAGCTATGAAAAAAAGAAAGCATTGTGAGTCCAGGGAAATCACATAACCTATGCTTTTTGCATTCCAAACCCCAAATACAAAGTCCTTGTTCTGGAAGAGGGAGCTCTGGTGGCGTAGTGCCTAACGCATTTGACTGCTAACCAGAAGGCTGGTGGTTCAAACCCACCAGCCACTCCTTGGAAGGAAGACTGGGCAATCTACTTCCACAGAGATACTGCCTCAGAAACCCAAGGAGGGGTTGCTATGAGTTGGATCTGACTCCACGGCAGTGTGTTTGGGTTTTTGTTTTTTTGGTTTTTGTTCTGGAGGGATCCTTAGGACTCCCACAAAGTCCTGTCCTTTGCTCCACTTCTTTGGAACTCCATTCTAACTTCCTTACAATCATAGGATTGAGTTCAGTTGGGATGGGGAGGAGTCCCACTTATCTTTAACCCACTAGGGAACTGGGAAAGCAGTGCTGCTGGGTGGCAGGGCTTACCTCCAGCCACCAATGCAGACAGCAGTAGGGCCCTGATCATGCTGTGTCTCTGACAGTCCTGAAAGCATGGCAAGGCCAAGCAAGGCCTTACTTTTATGAGAGAGTTTATCAACCAGAGATAAATAAAACACATGCAAGATGGGGATTTTCTCAAAGCCCAATAAAAAAAAAAAAAGGTTTGTATCCCAATATTTTCTCCCATTCAGCATCCTGCAAATACTTTGAAAAAGATGCCAAAAATGGATGTTGAAATGTGGGTTCTATCTACTTTCCAGAGATTATACTGTGTGTTAGGGAGGAAAAAAAAACATTAGTTTTGGTCTTTGGAGTTGTGTTTTCAGAGAAAAGATTAAATTAGCATGCTGAACAAACAACGTTCTAAGCCAGTAGTTCTCCACCTGGGAAAATGTGGCAATATTTGGAGACTTTTTTTGTCATGGTCAGGACTAGGGTACTATTGGCATCCAGGATTTACACGTTTTTTAAAATCTAATCTTGTTGTTCTTATAAGCTGCTGACTCTAGATGACCCCATGCAAAATGGAATGGGCAACTGGACTCTGGTGATCCATAGGGTTTTCACTGGCTGATTTTGAAAGTAGATCGATCACCAGGTCTTTCTTCCTAGTCTAGCATTTAGCCCTACTGAAACCTGTTCAGAATTGTAGCAACACATAAGCCTCCACTGATGGGTGATGTGTGCACATGAGGTTCACTGGTGGGAATTTGAACCCAGCTCTCCCTCATGGAAGGCGTGAATTCTGCCACTAAACCACCACTGTCCCCTTAGCTCATCTAATCCTTGTAAAAACCCTTCAAGAAGGTCCTATTTTTGAGATGAGGACGTTGAAGTTCAGAGAGGTAAAGTGACTTGCCAAGACCACCCAGCTTCTAAGTGACAAAACAGTGATTCCAAGCTACGTTTGTCTCATTCTAAAGCTTCTTTATCTTGATGTCATTGGAGATGGCACTTCAAATCACCTTCTAGAAAGGCAGTAAGTCATCGAGGGAGAAAAGGGTGGGTAAAAAGAGCATTTCCTGGTGGACTTGTTTCCTCTTCCTTAGACCTTCACTCTCTTTGCTTGTGGTGGGAGAACAGTGGTGAGACAGCCCTGCCCAGTGGCCACAGGCTCTGCCTTTTGCCCCAGCCAGAAAAGCTCTTAAGACCTAGGTTAGTTTTGAGCATTGTGACTTGGACAAGAGACTGACTTTCTGGGTCTTGTTGTTGTTGTTGTTATGTGCCGTCGAGTCAGCCCTGACTCATAGCGACCCCTCCTTGGGTTTCCGAGGCAGTATCACTGCGGAAGTAGGATTGCCCAACCTTCCTTCCAAGGAGTGGCTGGTGGGTTTGAACCGCCAGCCTTCTGGTGAGCAGGCAAGTGTCTTAGCCACTATGCTACCAGAGCTCCCTTCTGGGTCTTAGTTTCCTAGATAACAATCCAGGCCTGGACTGCAGGATTGTTGTACAAGTGAGAGGATGTAAAGGTGAGGGAGATTGGGGTGCAGGTAAATCCCATTGAACCAGATGTCAGAAGTCCTGGGTTTTAGTCCCAACTCTACCCCTAACTTCCTATAATAGTTTGGACTCTTGTTTATAGTCTGTAGCAGTCACTACCAAAACAAGTTATTTCTGAAGTCTCATATGTTATCTTAAAACCAACCAAAAAACCAAACCTGCTGCCATTGAGTTGATTCTGACTCACAGTGACCCTCACTGGGTTTCTGAGGTGGTATATTTTTATAGAAGTAGATTGCCCTGTCTTCCTTCCATGGAGTGGCTGGTGGGTTTGAACCACCAACTTTGTGGTTAGTTAAATGCCTTAGAAAGTGTGCTCCTTATGTTACCTTAAAAGTTAATGTGAATTTGGCATTCTGCTCCATGACATATCTGTATTTGTTCTGATATAAAAATAAGGTTTTTCCTATATGAGGCCACTGAACAAACATCAGTTTGGCACATGCTATGAGCTTGCTGTTTGACCTTGGGCAAGTCACACAGGTTCTCTGACCTTGGATGAGTCATGTATGCCCCTGGGCAAGGGGTTGCCTATCTGTGAAACAGGAAGAGGAATATGTGCCCACTCTGTGAGGATTTGAATGTGAGAAAACTACACCGAAACCTGCTTAAGCCAAAAGTTCATTCTTTGGGCCACAAAATGGAAGCAGACTGGCTTCAGACACAGCTGGATTCAGGGCTCTGTCGATGTCCCCAGGGCTCAGTTTCTCTCCATCTTTTGCTCTGGCTTCCACTGTGGTGGCTCCACCCTCAGGCTCCATTAAGCAACTTGAGACAGCTCCAAGTTCTCCCTTTCTTGGAGACAAGATGGCTGCAGGACCTCTGACATAGGGTTTCTCAATCTCCAAGTTACTGACATTTTGGGCTGGATCTTTCGTTGTTGTGGGGTCATCCTGGGCATTTCAGGATGTTTAGCTTTATCCTCGACTGTTACCAAGGTCCCTGTGACTCTGAGCAGGGGTTCTTGCCTTCTACTGACAAAGCATTGAAACAGGAGAGGCAAATTGTTCTCACAAACCAAAGTTTATTAAAGAGAGAGGAGAAAGGAGGGGCTCCAAGGGAGAAATGAAGAGAGGCTTTTGCCTATGCTAGCCTCTGGTCTCTCACCAAATGAAGGATTTCCTAGGGTTTATAAAGGCAGGAATTAGGAACAGGTAGGGATTTCTGGGAAAAAGATGGGGTTATGAAAATCAGGTGTGCATGCTAGAGATAACCAAGATGGATTCCACTGCCAAGGCTGTTGGAACAAAGATGGACCCCATCACAAAGGCTGCCGGGATGTTGTCATGACTTGTTCTATGATGTTGCTCATGTGTGATACCTGGCAAGGTATTCCTTCTCTCTCTCTTTATTTTTTTAATGCATTTTATTGAAATATAATTTGGTGACCAGGGCTGATCTTTAGGTCAATTCTCAGTCCCAATACCACTTGGAAATATTCAGGCTGTTGGTCCCGTCAGAGTAGCTGACAGTCCGCAGCTCCGACCGTCTCTGTACTCACTGTTTTTGTTCAGGTTTTTCCACTATTTGGTGCCTAATCCACTTCCGTATACTTCCTTTCAAAGCTCAGGGCTCCAAGATTATCTTCTGTATCTCTGTCAACTGTTTTTTTTCTTTGTTGAAGAGGGTCTGTGTCGCTTGGCTGATATTCCTCCATCTAACCTGGGTATTCCTGTTCTTGACTGTCTGTGGTAAAAGGTCACTTTGTTGGTTAAGTGGAATTTTACTGCATGTTCTCTGCACCTGGTTAAGTACTTGAAGGACAACTCTGAAGTTTGTCAGTTTTTTACAATGGTCAAGTTTGTGGGGTCTTTTGAAATTTCTTATCTTGCCTAAGAGCCTGGTTTTTTAATCACAAGTAGTTCTCTGTAGCCAGCAGCAATGAAGTGGTCTTCCATAAGACTATTCTAAGAATACTGAGTCACAGGCTTGTTTGGCCTGGCTAGCCTGACTCTTGCCTGTCTCATGACCCCCACTGACTAGATAACAGTACCATTGTCCTCCCCCCAAACATGACAACCCAAAATGACTCCAGACATTGCCAAATGTCTCCTGAGGAGCAAAGTGACTGCTATCTCATCTCTCTCCCCGGTTTTGTTGCAGTAACTTCATATCCCGTCATCTCTAAATCCAGCAGACAGTGAGTGAGAGCCTTCTGGTAGAGCCAGAAAAATCTCACAGCTCTCTGATTGGACCTGCTTCAAGTCACATACCCATCCCTAAACCTATTGCTATGGTGGGGGAGTGTACATAATGTGTGGATTGGCCAAGCCTGAAGCACAAGTTCCATCCTGGGACCTGAGTGGGAAGCACCACTCTGACCATGTGTGCAAGGCATGGAGGAGGAGTGGCACCTAAATAATAATCAGCCTTGGGTTCTGGAAAGAGGAATGGAGGCTGGGAGGGGACAGCAAGTAGCCGTCAGAGCCCACTACTGCCTCTGGGACTCAGTTCTCCGTTTATATGTTGGGAACTGAACAAGATGATCTGCAAAGGTGTAAACTGGGTTATATCCTTGAGGTTTCAGTGGGGGCAGGGAGATGCAGATGTGAAATTCTCATGGGGCTTATTTATGATTCATTCAGAATGACTCTGCAAAGGTCTAAACTGGGTTATATCCTTGAGGTTTCAGTGGGGGCAGGGAGATGCAGATGTGAAATTCTCATGGGGCTTATTTATGATTCATTCAGAATGACTCCTTCAAGAGGCCATATTGCACAGTGGTGAGGAGCTTGGGTTCCAGGGTCAGGCTACCTATGTTTAGACCTGGATGCTTCTATTTAGAGTCTCTCTCTGGTAGCATAGTGGCTAAGGCACTTGGATGCTAACCAAGGCTGGTGGTTCAAACCCACCAGCCACTCCTTGGAAGGAAGATGGGGCAATCTACTTCCAAAGTGATACTGTCTCGGAACCCAAGGAGGGTTTGCTATGAGTCAGGTCCGACTCGACTGCACATAACAACAACAACTGGTTTGGATAAATGGTGCTCTGATGGTACAGTGGTTAAGGAATTCAGCTGCTAACCAAAAAGTCAGCCATTTGAACCCCCAGTCACTCTGTGGGAGAAAGATGTGGCAGTCACTTTCCATAAAGATTTACAGCCTTGGAAACCTCATGGGGCAGTTCTACTCCGTCCTATAAGGTTGCTGTGGGTTGTGATTGACTAGATGGCAGTGGGCTTTGGTTTGAGGGCTGGGACACTTTTCAGCTGTGTGTCTCAGTGTTTTCACTTATAGATAACAATAACATTATTTATCTCCTGGAGTTAAATAACAATATTTCTCTTAAACAAAAATACAAAACAAAACAAAACACCAAACTCACTGCCTTGGAGTCAGTTCCGACCCATAGCGAGCCCTCCTTGGGTTTCCGAGGTGGTAGTGTAGTGCCTAAGGCACTTGACTGCTAACCAAAAGGCTGGTGGTTCAAACCCATCAGCCACTCCTCAGAAGGAAGGTTGGGCAATTTATTTCTGTAGTGATATTGCCTCGGAAATCCAAGGAGGGGTTGCTATGAGTCGGGTCCTACTGGATGGCACATAACAACAACAACAACATCTCTACAGAAGTAGATTGCCCAGTCTTCCTTCTGAGGAGTGGCTGGTGGGTTTGGACCACCAGCCTTTTGGCAAGCAGTCAAATGCCTTAGGCACTATACCACCAGAGCTCCAATTTTTCTCTTAAAGTACTCAAAATGGTAAATGTACAATAAATATTCATTCTTAAGTCTTTAGACCTGCAGGTCTCAGAGAGCAAAATTGGACAGGATTCCTCAAACTTTTCCATCAAGGAATCAGAACTTACTTAGCAAATGTTTTCTGTAAAAGGCCAGATAATAAATGCTTTAGACTTGCAGGTCTTATGGATTCTGTGACAACTACTCAACTCTGTCATTGTGGCACAAAAGCAGTCAGTCATAGACAATATGTAAATGAACAAACGCAGTTGTGTTCTAATAAAACTTTATTTACAAAAAGAGGTGGGGGGCCAGATTTGGCCCATGGGCTCTGGTTTTCAATTCCTGCTGGCAACTGATGCTCTGGGTCCTAGTATTCAGCAGTCACCATGAAAGCAAAATGTCTTTGACATCTCATTCTTCATCTGGGGAGTTTAATGAGTGTTTTGAAGCTTACTTCATACTATCACTGTTGTTACTGTTAGCTGCCTTTGAGTCAGCCCTGACTCATGGTGACCCCATATATAATGGGTATATTCTAATATAAATTTTTTTCTGCCTACTCAATCTTCACAGAAAACCTGATGCTTTGGGAAGATCTTCATGTTTATTCTCTGCCTTGTGTCCTGGCCTGTGAACCTTCACAGACATGTGCCCTAATCTCATGAGTGAGTTTTGAGGAACTGGACACTAAAGACATGTTGGAGGCCTGAGACCTGCTGAGAACAAGGTTTCTTCTCCTAAGGAACAAAAGAGGTAGGGAAGATTTGATGTTAGGAGCCCAGGGCCTGGGGTTTCTAGCAGCAATGACTCCCAGGAGGCAGTGCAGGTATCCATTTTACAGATGACGTAATGGATGCTCAGAGAGATTAAATGACTTCCCCTGACACTGCCTGTCAGTGGCAGAGTTCAGAGCTCTAGCCTAGTGAATACCCTTCCCTCTGCTCTGCCCTGTCCTGCCATGTTGTCAGTTGCTGTTGAGTTGGCTCCGACTCACAGCTAATCTTGTCTGTAACAGAAGGACATGCTGCCCAGCCTTGTACCACCTTCGTGATCATTGCTATGTTTGAGTCCAGTTGGACAACATTCTGTTGTGATCCATATGGTTTTCATTGGCTCATTTTTAGGAGTAGATTGCCAGGCCTTTCTTCCTACACTATCAGTCTGGTAGCTCCACTGAAACCAGTTAACTATGGGTGAGCTTGCTGGTATTTGAAATACTAGTAGTAAAGCTTCCAGTATCATAGCACATGCAAGGCCCCACTGTATAAAAAACTGACAGATAGGAGTGGGCCCTGACAGTTTCTGCTACTTACTGGGAGCTCTGGTGGCATAGTGTCTAAGGCATTTGACTGCTAACCAGAAGGCTGGTGGTTCAAACCCACCAGGCACTCCTCGGAAGGAAGACTGGGCAATCTACTTCTGTAGAGATACTGCCTCGGAAACCCAAGGAGGGGTTGCTATGAGTCAGAATCCCACTTCTTCTTTTTTTTTTTTTTTTAATTTATGCCAGAAATAACGTGGGTGTGGTGGATTGCCAAGATGGCCCTGATTCTTCACCCCTCCCTGTATCCACACCCTTTGCCTTGTAACTTTGCGAGGAGAATGAGAGATTTATGGAGATGAACTGCCCTAGCCAGATCTAGATTAAATCAGCCAGCCCCCACCTGACTCCAGACATGTGATTGAGCCAAGCTAGATCAGCCGACTACCAGTTGACCCCTGATGTGTGAGTGATAAATGGTTATCATTGGATGCCATTGATGGTTTGTGGTTGTTTGTTACACAGCATTATTATTGTTATTATTATTTTGTTACATAATATTATTATGTCCAAAGTAGCTAATACAGTGTGTGAAAGGGTTTTGGTAACACCTGTGAACCACAGTTCTGCTCTCAAGTTCCTGTCTCTCTGGACTCATTGCCAGCTTCACCGAGCCTCATCAGCACACCCTCCCCAGCAGGGTCATCAGAAGGACCAATGTGTGAGAGGTCCTTAAGATTTTAGTATTAAGAGGTAGAGTAATATGGTTGCTAGTTGCACAGACTGGAGTTGGACTACTGGGTGCCATCAAGTAATTTCTACTCAGTGCAACCCCATGTGTGTCAGAGTGGTGCTATGGTAAGGCATTCAGCTGCTAACCAAAAGGTCAGTGGTTCAACCCACCAGCTGCTCCATGGAAGAAAGATGAGGCAGTCTGCTTCTGTAAAGATTTACAGCCTTGGAAACCCTACGGATGTCACTATGAGTTAGAATTGACTTGATGACATTGGGTTAGTGGATGTGTCAGAGTGGAACTGTGCGCCATCAGATTTTCAATGGCTAATTTTTCAGTGGATTGCCAGGCCTTACTTCTGAGGTGCCTCTAGGTGGACTCAAACCTCCAGCCTTTCAGTCGTACCACCCAGGGAGTCCATGGATTCAAGTCCTGGTGCCAAATTACTAGCTGTGTCATTGCAGTGCAGTGGATTCCTTAAGTGCCCCTTCTAGCCACAGTCCTTCTTTTTGCGATGTATTATAAATCCTAGCCTCTTTGCCTGTGGTCTCATTTTGGGGTGAGTTGTCTGTTGCATTGATGAGGCAGGATTAGGGTGGGATATATCTTGAGGATCACCTTGTTGGAGGGTGTGACTCAAGTCACCACCCTTAGTTCACTTGAGGTATATACGTGAATATTCTGGCCAAGTTCGCTCTCTCTTTCTCCTGATCCTGCCTTTGGCTCATCATCATCTGACCCATGGACTTTGTCAGGCCTGACAACCTCTTGAGTGAGGAGAATCCTCCCACTGACACCCAACCCACGGATTTGGGACTCACCATCCTCTACCATCTCGTGAGCCATTTTCTTGGCAGTTTGGGAGTTCGGTGAGACGTTACAGAGAAATGCAGGAGGGAGAGTACAGCGGAGAGGAGAAGGAGTTCATATTAGAGATGATGGAGTGGTGTAGCCCTTTGGAAAAGTTGACACTGGGAACATCTTTAATCTCTCCCTCATGAAGCCCCCATACTACAGCACTAGGAACTAAGACAGTGGAGAAACCAAATGTAGGTTTATTTCTTTCTCATAGCAAGAAATTTGGAGGAGGATGATTGCTGGCATCAGATCTGCAGCTTGATGACGTTGGAGTCAATGGCTCTGCAGTTCTTCTGGTCACAAGATGGGTGTGATAGAGCCAAAACTAAACCAAACTCACTGGCCTTGAGTCAATTCCAACTCCCACTGGGTTTCCAAGGCTGTAAATCTTTATGGAAACAGACTGCCTCATCTTTCTTCTACAGAGTGGCTGGTGGGTTCAAACCACAGACCTTCTGGTCAGCAATCAAATACCTTAACCACTGCCCTACCAGAGCACCTTAGGTGTGAAAGAAGGAGGCTGAAAATAAAGTTTGGATCAAGCAACCAGTAGTACTGTCTGAACTTGAGTACTTTCTATTCAAAATTGAAGACTCGACTTAGGTACCACCACCTCCAGGAAGTCTTCCTGCACTCCTCCCACCAACTGAAGCTATGTACATTTTTGTGCAACTAGTCTGTTTCCTTTCTTCACACTTATACCAGGGAACTCAAATAATTTGTTTATGGATGTGTCTCTTCCAGAACAGGGATCATGTCTGACCTATCACTAGATTCCCAGGATAGAGATGGTGTCATGCTCCATACAAGCCCATTGCTTGGTGAGTGTCTTAGTTGCTTAGTGATGATCTATAATAACAAATACCACAAATGGGTGGCTTTAATGAACAGAAATTTATCTTCTCACAGTTTAGGAGGCTAAAAGTCTGCTCTAGGGGAAGACTCTATGCTCTGTGGGAAAATCCTTATCTCTCTCAGCTTCTTTCCCTTGGTTCCTTGGCAACCTCCATGTGGCAGCAGTCTTTCTCTATTTGTGCTTACTTGTTTCTGTGCCTAACCTGTTTAACCTGTTCTCTTTATATCTCAGACCAAAACACCAAAAAAACCCAAAGTCACTGCATTCGAGTAGAATCCAACTCATAGCGACCCCTCCTTGGGTTTCTGAGGTGTTACCTCTATGGAAGTAGAGTGCCCAGTCTTCCTTCTGAGGGGTGGCTGGTGGGTTTGAACCACCATCCTCCTGATCAGCAGTCAAATGCCTTGGACACTACACCACCAGAGCTCACAAACACATACAAAGTGTCAGTTGATGGGAGGAGTATAGGAGATGATTGGATTATAGCGTATTCCACACTGATAAGAGCTCATTAGCATAACAAAGAAAACCCTATTGCCAAATTGTGAGTACAATTTATGCCAATTTATGATGTACAGTTGTGCACCAAATAACTTGCCATTTGGGCGACGTCCTACCACGTATATGTCTATGGTCCCATAAGGTTATAACAGAGTTTGGAAATAGCATTTGGAGAATGACACGTAGTGAATGCAATAGCTTCCCACACACAATAAGCGCATCTCATGTCTCCTTTATACAAAGCAATTGTGTTGCCAGGAATATAAAAATATAGTACATATATAACCTTAATACATATGTCTTGATAGTCATAAACGATTATGATACTAGCTCATGTTTGTACTGTAGTGTACTTTCTATCTAAAAGTTTATTGTATAAACTTATGTTTTGATGGATAAGCAGCAGCATCCAAACTCATGTATTGTGCATCTCTTAGTGTTGTAGTGTCATCTCTCTGTTTAATTTTCTTTAGGAAATGTTACCTTAAAGTGTACCATGGCTCCCAAATGCAGCAAAACCTGTTGCTAGTGATGCAGCAGCAAGAGGCAAAGGAGAAGCATCAATTTGGAAGCAAAACCGAAGGTTATTAAACCACACAAAGGTGAAAAATCAGTGAAAGCTATTGCTTATGATTTAGGTTTGTGGCATTTAACAGTCATGATGATCCTCAAAAAAATAAAATAAAATAAAATAATTCTTCAAGCTGTTTAATGGTTGACTCCACTGAAAGCTACAAGGCTAACAAAAATGTGAAAGGAGCCTACATCAGATACGGAGAAATTGCTGATGACGTGGATTGAGGACCAAACACAAAAGCAAATGCCTCTCAGCCTGTTGCTGATCACTGCTTAGGCATGAAGCTTGTTTAAGGTGCTTAAAGAAAAAGCAGGACCAGATGATGATATGGTGTTCACACAACATCCAAATCACAAACATCCTATTTCACAGAATCTATCATGGACGTTAAGCAATGCATGACTGTATTCAAGTTACTATGAATTGCACGTTCAACTGTCTTTTTTTTTTTTTTTTTTTGGTACATCTCATCTTTAGTAAGGAGCCCTGGTGGTACAGTGGTTAAAGCATTTGACTGCTAACTAAAAGTTTGATGATTTGAACCCACCAGCTGCTCCATGGGAAAAAGATGAGGCAGACTTGCTTCCATAAAGATTTACAGCCTTGGAAACCCTATGGGGCAGTTCTATTCTGTCCTATAGGATCACTATGAGTTGGAATCAACTTGATGGCAGTGGTTTGTATTGTTTGGGGTGTCTTTAGTAGTACGTTCTACACACAATGTTGCACTGCCTAATTTGCCCATGCATAATTCTCAGATGTTCACTTGCAGATGTCTAAAGATCAGATTTATAAAGATGTGATAATAAAAGGCAATAATAATAAAAACTAAATGGAAAAAAAAAAGAGGTATATGTCAGAACCGACTTATGACTGAATCACTGAAACAGAATCCCATTGTAAGTTGAGTATCCACAAGCATACTCAACTCACTACCATTGAGTCGATTCTGACTCATAGTGACTCCCTTTTGGGTTTCTGAGGTGGTAAATCTTTAAGGAAGTAGATTGCCCAGTCTTCCTTCTGTGCAGTGGCTGGTGCGTTTGAACCACCAACCTCCTGGTTAGCTTTTTGAGGACACAATTAAATTCCTAATACTGAGTAAATGAACTCTTCCCTGAGAATAGGCTTGGCATGGTGGGGGTATGTGAGATAAGCTACAGTCTCTACACTCCAGGAGCCAAAGTCTGATGGGGAAATGGGACAACTCACGGACCACTTAGAAGCTGCTCTGAACTCCTGTGAAGAGTTCAGAGGCCAGGGTTAGGGGCCTGCTTCCTTGCTCCACTTCCATTGAATATCTACTGGAGAAGGCCTCCGGAGATCAGCATGTTTTGGGGAGTACCCCAGCTATAGTTAGAGTCCAGGGTGCCCACCATGTCCCCCATGATAACTGTCCCCACATGTACTGAATACTGATCACCCTTTCTTTTGGTCCTCCTTGCCCTCCAGACAGCCTTGGATTAGATCTCCCTTCTCTGAGCTTCTTGCTGCTCATGTGTGGCTGGACAGTTCTTTCTTGCCTCTCTGGGCCTCAGTTTCCGTACTTGTCTAATGCAGTGAAGTATTTTCTAGCCTGACCCATGGTGACTGTGTGTGGCTTGAGCCCCCAAGGGTTGAGCTGGAGTCTCTTCCTCCTCCTCCCACACCTCCACTGTGCTCAGTAGAGCCTGGGCCTGAAGTTAGGACTCATTAAACATTTCTAGAACCAGAGATCTAGGCCAACAGCAGCTGTGAGGTCTGTGCTGGATGGGGGATGGGGGCTCTCTGGGAATCTCCTTATTCAGGGGGTCAGTGGGTGTCCCTGAGCTCTGGGCATCCTCCTGAGGCTGGCCTCTCTGGATTGGGGGTTGCTGCCCTTGGGGAGACCCCATCTTTCACAGCTTGGGGACCCATCAGAGCCCTCTGTGGAGGCAGGACTAGAGAAGAGGGTGCTCTGACCTGGGTCACTGAGGGAAGCAAGTGTCTGATGTATCCTTAACTCCTACCCCCTCAGGCTACTCATATGGCTTCCTGGGATGACCTCTAGTGCCCCTCACCAGGACCCCCAGCAGCTCTCTCCAAGCCCTAGCCAGGCTGAACAGGCCTCTCTTTGTAACCTCTGGTAAAGAAAGAGGCAGCCCCTAGAAAGCTTGGGGATGCCCCAAACCCACTACTGTTGAGTTGGTTCCTACTCATAGTGACCCTACAGGACAGAGTAGAACTACCCCATAGAGTTTCCAAGACTGTGATCTTTAGGGAAGCAGACTGCCTCCTCTTTCTCCCACAGAGTGGCTGGTGGGTTTGAACCACCGACCTTTCAGGTAGCAGCCACGCATTTAACCATTGCACCACCAGGGCTTCATGGGGAATTCCAGGGGAGGCACAAAGCAAGAATCGAGGCAGCTTGAGGAAGAAGGCGTTTATTGTTGTGGGGACTTCCTGCCATGGAACCCAAGGACGAATCAAAGCTGCATTTTCTGGAGGAGCAGAGAACAGAGTGAGGGACTTTAGATGTGTGCCTTTCTGGGGCAGTGTGAAGCTCAGACAGGAGAGCAGGCACACAGGGACACAGGAGGTGGCCTGGGCTTTGACACATCAATGTTGCCTCTGCCCAATGGGCTTGAACTCCCCTCAGGATCTCAGATCACTGAGGCTGCAAATGGGGGCTCAGAAGATATCCTCTCCCAATACCCCATGTGAGAGCCCCCAGCCCAGGGTAGCCCCAAGATGGTGAATGGCCAGCCACACCACCCCCTCCTCTGTTGGTCCCTGCCCCAATGGGGCCATGTTTCATTTTGGGGGTACTGCTATGATGCCTGCAGTCAGGACATAAAGTATTTGCTGAAGCAAATAGATGAATGGATGGAGGTGTTAATGCCTGTTTCCTTCACTGCACCCAACTCAAGGTCTGCATACAGTAAGTGCTCACTCAGTACCTCTTTCATGAGCAAGTGACTGACTGACTGACTGACTGAATCAGTAAGTGAATGTGTGAATGAATAAGTGAGTGAATAAAGGGGGAACTGAGCAAGCAAGGAGCCTTGGCAACACAGTGCTGCTAACGTGACCACTGGTGGTTTGAACCCACCAGCCACTTTATGGGAGGAAGATGTGGCAGTCTGCTTCCATAAAGATTACAGCCTTGGAATCTCTACGGAGCAGTTAGTTCTTTGCCCTATGGATCACTGTGAGTCAGAATCAACTTGACAGCAATGGGTTTAGCTTTTTTGGTGAGGAACCAAGTAAGGAGTGAATGAATGAGTGAAGGTGTGAGCAGGGAAGTGATTGAAGAAATGGGGTGTGTGAGGCAAGCACCCACCTCGTTGATCCAGTCAATGTAGGCAGACACGCGAGTGTAGACTGCGGGCTTCTTGAGGGTGTTGCAGCCCAGTCCTGAGCCGAAGCTGACGATGCCACGCACCTCCCAGGAGCTGTTCTCTGCCTGGCAGTTCAGCGGGCCACCTGAGTCTCCCTGTGCCAGATGGGGTGGGCATCAGCCACCAAGCCTCCCTCCAGAGGCAGGCTTGGGCAGCAGGGGCAGAGGGATAGAGGAGGGTGTGTGCTGGCCCCACAATCTCTGTCTCTGTTTATTCCTCACTCCGTCCCTGATGAGGCAGAGGAGGTCTGGCTTGGGGCTGCTATGGCCTAGTTCTCAGGATGCCTGGGGTGTCAGACTGGTTCTTGTTTTGCTGTGTGATCTTGGGATGATGCTAACCCTCTCCGGGCCTTTGTTTCCTCAGCTATCTAGAGTTTCCATGTCTAGAATTCTGTGAGCTGCTCAGAAAGGTGAGATGTGTTAGAGACCTAGGAAAGTGGGGAAGGTGTGAGTGGGGAGAGAGTCATGGAAACAGGACGACAGCCTATGATTGTCTTCAATGTTTCTGTCAGATCTTCCTAACTCCTCTGTCTTCCTGGACTGGTGGAGCTGATGGCATGAAGGAACATGTGCAGAGACTTCAACGAAGCTCCTTCTATATCCCCATTTGATAGACGGGAAAACTAAGTTTCAGAGAGGTTAAACGGCCTGTCCGAGGTTACACAGCTAGTGAGTGGTGGGACTGGGACTCGAACTCAGATTCTATGGCTCAACTCTCCTGCTGTCGTCACAGTGTTCAGGTTGAAGGGGAGGGGAATGGGTGAGGTGTGGGTGACAAGTCTTTTCCTGAACTTTCTGGGTCCAACCGGGGCACAGTTTTCTCCCAGGTTTCATTTCATGAGTCTCACCACTCCCTACCCTCCTTGCCTCCCTTGTTATCCTCCCTACTTGACCACCTAGAGTTGGGACGAGGTGCAGGGCCAGGACACTCACGTTACAGGCTGAGATGACACCATCTCCCCCGGCGCACACCATCGTGTCCTTCACCATGGTACCCCACCAGTCACTCTGGGTGCATGTGGCATGATCCACCACTGGCTGCAGGCCCTGCTGCAGCTCATCGGCGATGGGGCCATTGGCTGGGGAGAGGGGGCCATGACAAGAAGTTAGCAGAGGTGGGCCCAGCCAAGCCTAGCCCCAGGTCCATCATCTGGGAGCAGAGGGTGAGGTGAGGCCTGGCTGAGGCTTTGTGGGAACCACACATGTGCCCTCAATCAAGAGCTGAGACTCTGCCCTAAACCATCTTAATCCATTTGGAGCAGAGATCCCTCTGAGAGCAAGGAAGAAGGAGCAGGTTTGAGGCAGAATTAATCCATAGAGAGCCCTTAAGGGATAACCATTGAGTTGAGTTGCCTTTAATTTGCATGCTAAGGTTTTAATTGTCAATCGTTTCCCTGTAGGTTTAACCTGGTGAATTATGTAGGTTTTTCTCAGCTCAAGATTTTCTAAGTAATGATCTGTATTTTCTTCTAGGTCTTCTATAGCTTCATTTGTTGTTGTTGTTGTTGTTATGTGCCGTGGAGTCGGCCCCGACTCATAGCGACCCCTCCTTGGGTTTCCGAGGCAGTATCACTACGGAAGTAGGATTGCCCAACCTTCCTTCCGAGGAGTGGCTGGTGGGTTTGAACCACCAGCCGTCTGGTTAGCAGGCAAGTGTCTTAGCCACCATGCTACCAGAGCTCCCATACTTCATTTACTTACATTTAATTCGGCTGGACTTTGTTTGGGCATCTGGTGTGCCATAAGGAGCCATGGTAGCACAGTGGCAAAGCTCTCAAAAGGTGGGTGGCTCGAAACTACCGACATTTCCAGGGAGAAAGATGAGGCAGTCTGCTTCCATAAAGATCTACAGCCTTGGAAACCCTGTGGGACAGTTCTACTTTGCCCCATAAGGTTGCTATGAGTTGGAATTGACTCAATGGCAGTGGGTTTGATTTTTGGTGTTTTTGTTGTTGTTATGTGCCGTTGAGTCGAACCCGACTCATAGCAACCCCTCCTTGGGTTTCCGAGGCAGTATCACTATGGAAGTAGATTCCGAGGAGTGGCTGGTGGGTTTGAACTGTCAGCCTTCTGGTTAGTAGTCAGTTGCCTTAGGCACTATACCATAAAGATCTAACACCCACCCCATGGTTTGTGGTGTATTTAGTTTAATTAATAGTAAGTATTTATATGACACTTACTATGTGTCAAGCCCTGTTCTAAGGACTTGACCAATTCTAATCCATTTAATCCTCACAATACCACTTGTCTGTCACATAGTATGAGCTTCATAAATATCAGCTATTATCATTACAGAGTTAAACAAGATGTGAAAATGTTTAAGCAAAAAGGAAAAGTGATGAGCAAGTGTGCATGGAGTGCTGTCAGAGCTGCTTCCTCTGGGAAGGCTGTCATGATTTGCCAGGAGCCGTACTCAACACGCTCAGCTGCAGACAGAAAGGTTGGGGGTTTGAGTCCACCCAGAGGTGCCTCAGAAGAATGGCCTGGTGATCTACTTCTGAAAACTCTGCCATTAAAGATTCTGTGGAGTACAGTTCTACTCTAATACACCCAGAATCTCCAGGGGTTGGATTTGACTCAACAGCAACTGGTACTCACTCCAGAGGCGGCCCCAGCCAGTGACGTAGCAGGGGAAGCCCTGAGGCAGCAAGGAGCCCTCCTCTGGCAGGCAGGCTACCTGGATGGTGTCACTCAGTTCCACGGGCTCCGCCAGTTTGATGAGGGCAATGTCGTTGCTAGAATCCAAGTGAGAGGGTGAGTGGGTTGGAGGGCCCTGGGCTGTGAGTTGGGAGTCAGGCCAGGGGTAGCCTGGGGTCCTCCATAGACATCATGGACCTCGAGCTTTTTATTGGCTGACAGGTGTGTCAGAGAGCAAAGGACCTGCCTTTTAAGTTGATCACCCATCTGCCTAAATGGAAAGGCTGAACAGAGGGGGAAATCAGAGCTGAAGCATTCCAAACCACTGCTGGTTATGTATCTATCACAAATTAAGCAAAAGCAAATGAGAAGTTATAAGGTTACAAGAGGGACACTTAGAGTTGTGATTTTTATATTTTCATTTTACAGAATGAAAGTGGGCAGCCCTAGACAGACCTGGGTTGATCTTAGTTCTACCCTTGTGGTGCAGTGAATGACTCAATATGACCCTTCTAGTCATAGTTTTGTAACTCTTATCAAAAGATTGGGTAGGACTGTGCAAATAATGTGCTCGTGGCCTACCAAAGGCATAGAATAGCTAGTTAATAATACAAATAAGATACATGGCACCCTTGTGGGAATGGGACCATGAAAATAAGGTGTATGGAAACTTAATGAGAGGATTGGTTAGTTTTGCCATCCTGCTAGGCTTAAAAAGAGCCAATTCCAAAACAGACGGGGAGGGGAGCTCACTACCACCAAGAAAGAAGAGATGGGAGCAGAACACATTCTTTGGGCCAAGGGTCCCTGTGCTGGAAACCTCCTAGACCCAGGAGACAGAGAGCTGTAACATGGAAGACAACAAGAGACAGTGGCACACCACTGACGAGTGACAGCAGAATGAGATGGCAGGAACCAGGAGCCCAGTGGGACTTGCCAGTCCATGGAGTTAAGATTTGTAACACTTGCTCAAGAAGGCTCCCTGCAGGGCCTAGAGGCAGCAAGGCCCCAGCAGAGCCCAGTAGCAGAGGGTGAGGAGAAGCTGTCCTGATAGAAGAATTGAGTCTCGAGCTGTTCCTGTTCTGAATTGATTCCAATCCTGAGTCATACTCTGTTACTTCCCTAATAAACCACTTTACTGTAAGTATGGTTCATGAGTTCTGTGAGACGTTGCAACAAATTACCAAAACCAAAAATGGGAGCGGGAGTACTGAGAGGAGGGGGAGTAGTTGATGTTAGAGATGATAGAGTGGTACAGCAGTTTGGAATAGTTGGACATTTGGGACATCTTTAACCTTTGCCTCATAGGAACCAACTTAGTGCTGATCTTTATTAAAGAAATTATTCATTTAACCATGTGCTAGGCTGTGTGACCTAGGACACGTTCCTTAGCCTCTCTGAGCTTCAGTTCCTTATCTAGGGCTGTGGTAAGGATTGAATAGGAAATGGCATTGGAAAGTGCCTGCTGCAGTGAGTGTGCAGTAGGTGCTCAGTAAAGGTGAGTCCTGGCTCAGCTTCTGGCTGAGAGGCTCCGGGAAGGACATTCTTGGGCTTCTGTATCTTTATTCCTTGTACCTTCCAGGGACTCTTGGCCAACAGTGGGGGTGGGAAGGGTGTCTGCCTCCATTTAGTATTTCGCCATTTTATATAAAGGTGTCATCTTGCTGGCTGTTCAGGGTGAGGATGGGGGCAGGGACAGGGTGGGGGCAGGCTCCTCAGCTCTGTCTCGGGAATCCCTTCTCTTTCTGTGCTCTCCCAGGACTGTGAGAAGGCCAGCTAGGTACTCACCGCACCAGGAAGGAGTTCCACTTCTCATGGACAAAGATGGTGTCCACGGCCACAAACAGGGAGCCTTCCTCGTCTTCCACTGCCAGGTTGTTCTTCCCCAGGCCCACACGATAGGTGCGGGTGTTGCTGGACAGAGGAAGGACACAGGGTCAGGGTAAATTTGATGGTTCAGCCCTGTGGCTACCACAGGAAGAGAGTGTCCAACCCCATGACCCTTCAAGGTGGGGTATAGGGAAAGGATCCTGGTCTTGGAGTCAAAGGGCTCAGGTTATGTCGTGGCTTTACCACTCTTAGAGGGTAGCTTTGGACCTCAGTCTTCTCATCTATAAAAACCAAAAACCAAAAACCAAACCCATTTTCGTCGAGTTGATTCTGACTCATGGCAACCCCACATGTTACAGAGTAGAACAGCTCCATAGAGTTTTCTTGGCAGCTGTAATCTCTATGGAAGCAGATGGCCAGGCTTTTCTTCTGCAGAGGAACTGCAGTGGGTTAGAACAGCCAACCTTTAGGTTAGCTGCTGATTGCAAGGTGCTTATGCCACCCAGGGACCTTTTCCTCATCTGTAAGGTGGAGATAATATTAGAACTTGGGTGCCAGGGCTGCTGTGAGAACAAGCCACCCTCATCTCTTGCCCACATTGTTGCAACAGTGGCCTCATTGTCTCCCTGCTTCCATCCTGGCCTTCTACTGTCTATTCTTAACCCAGCACCCAGTGCGAGTCTTCTAAAACAGAAGTCAGCCTCTGCCTCTCCTCTGCTCAAAAACCCTTCCAATGGCTCTGTCTCATTCAGGGTCAAAGCCAAAGCCCTAACATTCACTTGCACAATCAGGCTGGTCCTTTCCTCTCTAGCTCCCCTATTCCTTCTCTCTGCCATGCCCTTTAAAATAGAAGGCCTCAAGATTTTTGGTTCCTTTCCTGCTTTACTTTCCTCCATTACCATTTGATATGTTTAATAATTACTTGTTTAGCTGTCTGCTGTTCTGTCTTCCACTACACCATAAGTTCCCTGAGGACACAGACTTCGTCATCTTCCCCGCTGTATTCCCTGGCACATAATAGGTGCACAATAAATGAACAACTGAGTTACTGAATATAAGTAGCTTATTTAGCCCCCTAAGGAGCTCTGGTAGCACAGTGACTAAGGCATCTGACTGCTAACCAGAAGGTTGGCAGTTCAAACCCACTCCCACTCCGTGGAAGCAAGACTGGGCAATCTATTTCCATAAAGATTTACTGCCTCGGAAGCCCAATGGGGGTCGCTATGAGTCAGGATTGACTAGATGGCAGTGGGCTCCCCCCCCCCCCAGTATTTAGCCCCCGATAAAGGTAGTAGGTGCCTTATAAGAACAGCTTATCAGGCTTCTACCTTGGGGTGGGGTGTCACGCTAGTTCACCTGATGCAGTGGGCAGCAGTGAGGACATAGCTGCTGGCGATCAAGGTGCCACCGCATGTGTGTCTCCAAGTGTCATCCTTGAGATATTGGAGGGAGATCTAGAAAGGTTGAAGAAGGGCCACTTGTCAGATCCTTGGGGACTCTCACCCCCTTTCCACCCCCACTTCCAACCCCTAGCAGTATGCTTACCTGCCAGGGCCAGCTGTGGGGCCTGGCATTGTCTCCTCCTACCACCCGAGCTGATAGGTTGGGCAGGAAACTGGGGACCCCGCAGCTGGAGGCTGGGTGAGTAGGAGGGGAGGAGCTCAGGTGAGTGATGCTGGCACCCCCACTGGGGTGGATACAGATGGGGTAGGCAGGTGAAAAGAGCTATGGGTCCGGCAGGCATGGGTTCATATTTCACTTCACAGGCTTTGGGGAAGCACCTAATTTTCCGGGCCTCAGCTTCCCTTTCTATGAAGTGGTAAGACTAGCATTAACCTGGTGAATTAAGCATATAAGGCTTAGCAAAGGGCCTGTACAGAGCAGATGGTAAACTGAAGGAAATAAAAAGGTGCCTGGTACTTGTGTGCAGGAGCTCAGCACACCTGTGTCCTTTACCCTCACCCTGTGGAGGGCATATGAGTGTCGAATCCAGTTACAGAACATTGTAGCCGAGAAGCTGTGCAGATGAATCAAGAGCATCTAATCCCAAATTTTGGCTCAAGCACTAATTAGTCAAGTGATCTCAGGCAAGATAATGAGCCTAACTGAACCTCACTGTCCTCATCTGTGAAATGGAGACATTCATAGAACCCATCTCTTCAGGAAGGAGTCCTGGGGGCACACAGTTAAGTGCTTGTCTGCTCACCAAAAGGTTGGTGGTCCAAACCCACTGAGTGACTCTGTGGGAGAAAGACCTGATGACTTGCTCCCATTAGGATCATAGCCAAGAAAACCCTACGGGGCAGTTCTAGCCTGTCACATGGGGTCACTTTGAGTTAGAATGGACTCTATGACACCCAACAGGAACATCAACTCTCAGGGTTGTTGTAGCAATCAAATTTGCATGTAAAGAGCTAGCACATGGCCTGGTACATAGTAAGCACACAATAAACAAGAGCTGCTATCATTAATATCGTTACTGTCATTAGCTGGAAGGATTCTTAATCGAGTGCTCTCATTTCCCAAACATGTCAGTGAGATTTAGAGAGGTGAAGTGACTCATCTAAGTCCTGAAGTGAGTGAGTGACATTTAAGTTAAGTCCTTTGATTCCTGATCTGATGAAATACCACCAAAATGGGAAAACAAAGAATCTCCAAGTGAGAGAGTTCTCTGGGAAGCAAGCATTAGCTCCGATGGTCCCTAGAGTGAATCTAGGATGTGGCATCTGCTGGATCCCTGGCTCAGTGCCTTCTGTACCTCATCTCTAACTCTCACCTGACCTGGGGAGGTCAGACCATTGTCCTGTTTGGTGAATGTGGAAGTAGAGCTACAGAGCAGGGAAGTGACTCATCTGACACACAGTGAGTCACCAGCATCAGAGACCACACTGGACCCTAAACTCCTTTTGAGAGCTTTGGTGAGAAGAGGACCCCTGCCCTGCCCTTATCTGCAGGAGGTCATCCCAAGCTCACAGCCCACTGGTTGCAGCTGGTCCCTACCCAAATCTTACCGCAGGCTAGGAGTGCAGCGAGGACTGTGATGCCCAACATGTTGTGAGTGTCCAGACAGAGTGGCCACCAAGGTGGTATAGGTGTATTTATAGGCAAGAGGGGGCTGCCCCTTACCCCCTTGCCAAGACTGAGCCAACCTTTGGGTAGAAACCTGTTTGGACAAGGTTCTTTCCCTGACCTTGGGTGGTTACTATTTAATTTGGACAGGAGACAAAGCTGGCTTGTGGGTATGGATTTTCTAACCACCGTGAGACAGAGCCAAATTCTGAGATTTCCAGGCTTCTTAGGGCTCTTTCCACTCCAAGTAAAGGAAACTGATGGTGCAATGGTTAAGTGTTTGCCACTAACTTGAAGGTGGGAGGTTTGAACCCCCATCTACTTCATGGGAGAAAAGACCTAAAGATTTGCTCCTGTCAAGACTGTAGCCTAGGAAATCCTATGGGGCAGTTCTACTCTGTCCTATAAGGCTGCTATGAGTCAGAATCAACTTACAGGACACAACAGCAACACCAGCACTCTGGCTAGAGTGGGTTCCCATTCTCTCTCCTGTCTCATTCTTTTTTAGTTATCATTTATTGGGTGCCCAATATTTCTTACATCATCTCACTTAATTCTCCCAATGAGAACACGAAGTAGATACTATTATCTGCTCTTTAGAGATGAGGAAGCTGAGATGCAGAGAGGGTAAGTGAGCATCCAGGGTCACACAGCTGGACAGCAGCAGAGCCAGGATTTGAATTCAGTGCTCTTAACACTAGTGCAAATATCATGCTTAGTAAAGCAGAAATTTAGGAGCTCTGGTAGCATAGTGCCTAAGGCACTTGACTGCTAACCAGAAGGCTGGTGGTTCAAACCCATCAGCCACTCCTCGGAAGGAAGGTTGGGCAATCCTACTTCCGTAGTGATACTGCCTTGGAAACCCAAGGAGGGGTTGCTATGAGTCGGGGCCGACTCGACGGCACATAACAACAACAACAAAAGCAGAAATTTAGTGAAAACAAGAGAAATGAATCAACACAACAGCTACAAGAAACATACCAACAGTTGTGAAGATGGCGCAGGACCAGGCAGTGTTTTGTTCTGTTACACAGAAGTCTGCAATGAGTTGAAGTCAACTTGATGGCAACCACTAACAACATTAGCCCTAGGCTTCAGGCTACTGGGATACATTGCTTCCTTCTCTGTCTTTCTAGTTCTCTGCTGTTCCTTGTCTTTTCCTTTCTACCTCATTCAGCCCTGGGCTCAGGCCACTCCTTGCACCTCCTTGCATCTGCTGAGGGCCAAGCAAACCCTGGAAAGGGCTTGACAAGTCAAATTCTTCCTAGAGTCAGCTTAGTTGTCTCCCTGTATGACCTCTTAGTCTCCCTGTTTTTAAAATGAACCAATAAGACCAGGTATATGTTTAGGCTCTTTTCAGTCCTTAGGTTCTATGGCTTAAATGTCAAGGGTGGTGGATCTAGATGTGTGCGGTGTATGCAGTGCAGTGAATTACTTCATATGACCCTTCTAGCCATAGCCTTTGTAATTCTCAACAAATTACTGGGTGGGACTATGCAAATGTGAGGTGCTTGTGGCCCACCAAGGGGATTGGATGTTGTTGTTAGGTGCCGTGGAATCGTCTCCGACTCATAGCAACCCTGTGTACAACAGAACAAAACACTGTACCATCCTGCGCCAGCCCCACTATCCTTGCTATATGTGAGCGCATCATTGCAGCCACTGTGTCAACCCATCTCGTCCAGGGCCTTCCCCTTTTTCACTGACCCTCCACTTTACCAAGCATGATATCCTTCTCCAGGGAATGGTCCCTTCTGACAACATGACCAAAGTAGGTGAGACAAAGTCGCTATTCTCGCTTTCAAGGAGCGTTTCAGCTGCACTTCCTCCAGGACAGATTTGTTAGTTCTTTTAGTAGTCCATAATACACTCAGTATTCTTTGCAACACAACTCAAAAGGAATGACTCTTCAGTCTTCTTTATTCATTGTACAGCTTTCACATGCATATGAGGCGAATGAAAAAACCGTGGCTTGGGTCAGGCGCACCTTACTCTTCAAGGAGACGTCTTTGCGTCATCACTTGAAAGAAGTCTTTTGCAGCAGATTTGCCTAATGCAATATATCATCTGATGTCTTGACTGCTGCTTCCATTGGTGGTGATTGTAGAATCAAGTAATATGAAGTCTTTGACAACTTCAATCTTTTCTCCATTTATTGTGATGCTGCTTATTGGTCTAGTTGTGAGGATTTTTCTTTTCTTTATATTGAGGTATAATCCATACTGCAGACTGTAGTCTTTAATCTTCATGAGTAAGTGCTTCAAGTCATCTTCACTTCCAGCAAGCAAAGTTGTGTTGTCAGCACATCACAGGTTGTTAATAAGTCTCCCTCCAATCCTGATGCCATGTTCCTCTTCATACATTCCAGCCTCTCAGATTATTTGCTCAGCATACAGATTGAATAAGTATGGTAAAAGGATACAACCCTGACACACTCCCTTCCCGATTTTAAACCATGCACTGTCCCCTTGTTCTGTTCGAATGACAGCCTCCTGGTCTATGTACAGGTTCCTCAAGAGTACAATGAAGTGTTCTAGAATTCCCATTTTTCTCATTGTTATCCATAATTTATTATGATCCACATAATTGAGTGCTTTTGCATTGTCAACAAAACACAAGCAAACATTTTTCTGGTATTTTTTGCTTTCAGCCAAGATCCATCTGACATCAGCAATGATATCCCTTGTTCCATGTCCTCTTCTGAATCCAGCTTGTGTTTCTGGAAGTTCTCTGTCAATATACTGCTGCAACTGTTTTTGAATGATCTTCAGTAAGATTTTACTTGCATGCGATATTAATGATATTGTTCAATAATTTCCATATTCTGTGGGATCAGAATCTGTGGGATTTGATCATTTTCTAATAATGTCTGGAACCCTAATGTGAGGATTGGTCAGTTTTGTCATCTGCTAGGCTTAACATGAGCCATCCCAGAAGCAGGATGGCCAGGGATATCACTACCATCAAGAAAGAAGAGTCAGGAGTGGAACATGGACCCAAGATTCCTGTGCTGAACCTCCAATGGTCCAGGAGACAGAGAGCTGTGACACTAGAGATGGCAAGATGGCACGGGATGGGGAGAAACAGCAGCAGGGAAATGGTGACAGCAGAATCAAGAGACCAGCACAAGATGGAGAGGCGGGCTTCTAGCCCGTGGAGCAAGAGGGCTGAGTGCTTTTGGGCAGGAGGCTTGTTGATGGAGTGGGGTGCCTCTCTGAGCACCTATTTGTAGAGCTAAAAGACCTTTGTAATACTTGACCAAACAGGCAGAGGCCAAGGGGCCACAGGGCCAGGAGGTTGGGGCCAGAGAGGTGGTGTCTGCTGTGAAGCTGAGAAGAGGCTGTCCTCGAAGAACTGCATCCAGAGTCATTTTTGATCCTTAATTGTGGACTGTGACTTCTCCAAAAGAACCCCCCAAAAACCAAACCCACTGCCATCAAGTCAGTTAGGACTCATGGTGACCCTTATTGGCCAAAGCAGTAAATCTTAATGGAAGTAAATTTTCTCGTCATCCTTCAGTGGAGCAGGTGGTGTGTTTGAACCACCAGTCTTCAGGTTAGCAGTCAAATGCCTTAGGCAGTGTGTCACCAGAGCTCCTTTTACCTCTCCAATAAACCCTATAGTCATAAGTGTTGTCTCTGAGTTCTGTGTGGCCATTGCAATGAATTATTGAATCCAGCAGAGAAGGAGAGAGTGATGTGGGAGGGATGGTTGGTGTCAGAATTGGTAAAGAGGTTGGAGGGTGGTGGAATGTCTGACCTCTGCCTCATAGGAATCAGCCTTGGGCTGTTGATGCTAATCTTGATCCTTCTCCCTACCTCATGAAGTTAGTTCAGAAGCCACTCCCAGGCTGTTTTACAGTGTGAGTCCAGCACTGTGTGTTTAGAAGTTCTATCCAGACACTGGCAGTGAGGTCAGCCCATCTCTTGGAGTTTCTGATTTAATCCATTTACCAGACTTGAGACTGGTTGATTAGACTCTGCTATTCTTCCTCTTACTACTCATCCCTCATGTTCCCAGGAAGTAATTTTCTGAGCTGAGCCCACTGGTCACCTTAGTAATTGTGTCCCAAGAACAAAGTTTGGAATGCTACACACTCTACTGTTAAATGGTGGTGTCTGGGAGTAGGGGTGGGGTGAAGGAGGATCTAACTTACATATTTTTATAGAGTTTAAATTATTTTCTAAATCAAGCATGCATTATTTTTGTAATATAGAAAATCAACAAACTTTTGATTAAAAGTTAAAAGACACTGAGACAGGGGTGAGTGTGGGTATAGGGTTCTGTCCTGTTGTGATGACCTCAGGCCCCAGATGGGCATCTAGTGGGTCTCAGGGTATGGTTAATTTCTGGTCCATTCTAGGGGCAGGTCCTGATAGAGTCTGTGACTGACTCATAGTGACCCTATATACAAGAGAACGAAACAGTGCCTGGTCCTGTGCCAGCCTCACAATCCTTCTATACCTGAGCCCATCATTGAAGCTACTGTATCAATCCATTTCATTGAGGGCCATCCCCTTTTTTGTTGACCCTCCACTTTACCAAGCATGATATTCTTTTCCAGGGAATGGTCCTTTCTGACAACATGACCAAAGTAGGTGAGACGAAGTCTGGCCATTCTCTCTTCCAAGGAGCATTCCGGCTGCACTTCCTCCAGGACAGATCTGTTAATTCTTCTAGTAGTCTATGGTGCATTCAGTATTCTTCACCAACACCACTACTCAAAAGTGTCAACTCTTCTTGGGTCTTCTTTATTCATTGTCCAGCTTTCTCATGCATATGAGACTATTGAAGATACCAGGGCTTGGGTTGGTGCACCTTAGTTTTCAAAGAGACATCTTTGCTCTTTAGCACTTTAAAAAGGTCTTTTGCAGCAGATTTCCCCAGTGCAATATGTCGTCTGATTTTTTGACTGCTGCTTCCACTGGTGTTGAATGTGGAATCAAGTAATATGAAATCTTTGACAACTAATGACTCAAACT